AAAAGAAAAAAAAAAGAATCTTTTTTTTTTTAAAAAGAATTTTTGTTTCTAGATTCACCAATAGTTCAATTAAATGGTGGTGGATTAATAAATGAAAATGAAAAATTAATATTAATATGTAATGTAGATTCTTATCCATCAATTGATTATTATCAATGGTATAAAAATAAACAACAATTAAATACAAGTTCATTAACATCTTCAATAATTATTGAAAAAGTATCAAAAGATGATGGAGGAATTTATATGTGTGTAGTTAAAAATACTTTGAAATATCCTAATGGAAGTTCTATTGAAATGTTGAATAGAACACAAACAAGAGTTATTGTTCAATGTAAGAGAAATATTTTTAGATCAAATTTTTTCATATACTGAAAACAAAAACTTCACTTTTAGATGCACCAAAAGTTTCTACACTATATCCAATCATAGCTGTTGATCTTCATACAACTAATATAAAATTTCAATGTGATATCGATTCATATCCTGACTCAATAATTATTTGGACATTTAATAATAATGTTATATTTAATTCAAATAAATATTCTATTATACAAAATAAATCTTTATCGTATTTAATTATTCAACAAATACAATCTATAACAGATTATGGATTATATTCATGTAATGCATCAAATAAGTTAGGATATAATTCTACAACTATCCAACTGAGATCAAAAGGTATATTGACATATAGTTTGATGTTTGAGATCGAATCATTTCTCATACTGTGTTTTGCTCTTTTGACGATCATTATCATATCATATAGACATATATCTCCTAGTGTTCACAGGATGGAATTTTTGTTTTATGTTAATAGTTTATCAATCAATCATTTTCATCACAGTTGTTCATCATTTAATGAAACGAAAACAAAAGAAAGAAAATTTTTTTTTTTCTTTTTGTTTTTTATTTAGGTGTACCAGAATCACCAACGGATTTGAATGTAACAGATATTACTTATTCAACGATTAGTTTGAGATGGAAACCAGGATTTGATGGTGGATGGCCACAATCGTTTCAAATTTCACTTGATAATTATGTATGGAACGAAATTAATCAAAGTCATTTTACATTTACAAGTGAGTTTGTTTTACATGGAATGATACTTAAATGATGTTGTAACACCATAGAAATGGATTGACATTCTCATAAAAATATCTAATGAATTCATTTATAGTTAAGGAATTAGTTTATGAATAAGTAAGAACTGAATGATCTAATATGAATTGATAATAGTTAACGAGAAAACCTATTCAGCTGCTACCTTCTGATTTCGAGGATTTTTGCTAATAGATACTACAGAATATTCTAACAAAAAAAAACAAACTCTAAAAGGCTTTGAGTTCCTATTGCGATTTGACTGAGATGTTGAAGTTCTTTTACAGGCTCCATATTTTTAGAAAATTCATTTTTTCGAATTTTGATCTGAAACTTTATGAATATCAAAGAACTCAACTAGAATTTTTTCTATTAAAAAAATCAAAAACTTTTAATAAAGTATCTTCGAGATTTGAAATTTTCACGATATAGACCTTGTGCTATGGATAGTGTATGCAACATGCATCTTGTGAAAATTTCATGTCTTGAAGCCACTTTATTGAGAATTCTTACATTTTTCAGGGAAACTAGATACGGATACCGTTTCAGAGCGAAGTTCGAAAACACCAGTTTCTCAAAAACGTAGAATTCTAAAGGGACCTATAGAAAAAAATTCGTTTGCTTAATCAAATCTCAATAGGAAGCCAAATCCGTTTAATGTTTTTATTGGAACACTATATATATTATCTATAGGTCAAAAATCATTGAAATCACCAGGGAGCAACTGAAGAGAGTTACTCGTAAGAAATAAATAGCATCATCCAAAATTCTTTTAGAATATAAGTATAGAATATTCTTTTCTTATTTCACACTTGTCCTATTGTTCTTAAAAGTATGAAACAGATAGAGTAGTTTCATTTAAGAATAAAAGATTTCAGTTTATTGTTAGACTAGTTTTCGTGTTTGTTAAATACTATTTGTTAAAAAGATTTTCTTGAGAAACATAAAAGTATGCAGCATGAGAAATGTTTTTCTGAAATAAAAAGGAGTCAAAACCCGCTTTGAATTTCAATTCAAAGTTAACATAAATTACACACACTTTTAATGAAACATATTCATCGAAACGTCCATATTTTAGTTGATTATTAGCAAACATAAGTTTTCCTCCTATGCAGAACTGTTTACATAAAAAACATCTATAGTATACATAATCAAAGATGTATACATTACGGTGTTTCTTTCTTCATCGTCAAAGGAGATCTTCTTTCATTATTATGAAAGATGTTTTTATTTGAAATAGACACTTCCTACGAGGATGAAATCAAATGAACAGATGAGGATATCCATAATCTTGAACCATATAAATTAGCTCGTTCGGATGCCGATATATTGTTTTTATGTCCATCAAAACTAACTTTTTAGATCTTCAACATTTGAAATATTATAATATAACTGTTCGAGCCTTTAATCAAGGGGGTCAAAGTGCAGCTATTGCATTTATTCGTGTTCGAACAAAAGATGTACCAATAAAACAAGAAGGTTAGTTTTCAATGAAACTTCGGATAAATATAATTCATTTCTTATTAGATTTACCAATTATTGAACATTCATCATTACATTTATCAGAAAAAACAATTAATTATCGTTTAAATGAATCAAGTTTTACATCAATAAAAGTTTCATTATGTATTCGAATTGAAATCTATAATCGAACGAATCTATGTCAACGTATTGTAACATCAAGTGGAGTTTTAAAAGTCAATGAAACGGATTTAAATAATATTATTAATATATCGATTTGTCTTGATCAATATGAAAGTTTTTGTGGAGAAATGTTTCCAGTTGAAATAAGTAAAAAAAAAATCTTTCTAAATGATTTATTTTGATAAAAATTGTCATATTCTAGAACGTGATGCATCATTTGATTGGGTACTTATATTACTATTATCGATTATTACTGTTTTGTTTCTTATTCTATTTGGTCTTGGTATATTTTGTTTTATAATAAATCGTAAACGATTACGAAATACTAATCATTCTCGAGGTATCATCATGATTTTTGTTTTAACTAACGTTTTTGTTTTTGCGGTATAAATATTTAGTTAGAATATCAAATAAAATATCTTCAAACGATCCAGTTAGTACAAAATCAGTTATTTCTAATACGAACAGGTACATTTATAAAATAATAATAATAATAATAATAATTTATTTTAATAATTTAATTATTAGTCCAACAAAATTTTTTTCAAATGTAACATATCCTGAACGACAACAGATACCATCATCTTATTCTAAATTAAATGATATTCAAAAATTTGATCAATTACAAGGTATATCATTTTTTTTTTTCAAAATCTAATTAATTAATAATAAAACTGAAATTCATTATCGTTTTATATAGTTACTACTGTTAATAATCATCAATTATCAACTGGTTCAAGTGATCCAATATTATCGAATCCAAATTCATCTTCATTATCAGGTAGTGATCATTTAACAATAACAGATATGAATCCAACTGATCTATCATCAATAGAAAATGATTTAAATGCTTCACAATCTCAACATATTAGCTATGGTTTTCCACATTATACAATAAAAAATCAAGAAGATAGCATTGAAAGTGGTTATTCAGCATCATTAAAAAATTATCAACTAAATAAAAAAACTGTTTATGAAGTTGTCGTTTAGATTTTCAGTATTAGACAGTGACCATATCTATGTAGAATTCCTTTTGTGTTGTGATGATGAAATAAAACATTAGAAAAAGAAAACAAATAATAAAATAAGTTCATTTATGATATAAAAAAATATAAAGAAAAACATTGATCATATTAAGAATTGATGTACAGCGGAATCTTTGTGGATTTATACACGACTTATATGAATAATATTTGCATAGTAGGTGACCGCGAATTGATAAGGTGTGATGACATTGATTCAATTATATGTATGAATAAAATTGTTGCTTTTCCTTTAAATAAAATTGTAATTCATCTGATAAATTAAACAGCTTTAAAAAAATTCACTGAACAATTTTAAATAAAATATTATAGATTTATGCTTTTTGATCGTATTCAATGAATCTTATCGTAAATGACACTTCAAGGGGGACGAACTATTTCATATGATAGATGATGACAAACTTTCTACATATATATTCAATTATGATATACTGTATTTATGTTTGACTGGCATTTAGTTTGCCCTTAAGCATTACATACAAATTGAGAATGATTAAAAGAACAAGTCTCCTGCTGTACATCTCTATGAACATTTATGACCTATTCATAAAGATGTCACTTGTACTTTAAATAAATACTCATATATGATGTTATCAATTAATGATTACATCTTGATTGATTCAATTGATTTTTTTCTTATTATTGTCACGCTTGAAATTTCTATGTTTTCTTTTCAGATTTTAGTTGAACAATTCATTTAATAATTGAAAATTCTTCTATTACCCATGTAAATCAATTGGTTAGATTGTCATGATATTAAATCAATATTGACTATTTGACAGAACAGATTTCTTTTTCCTGGGATAAATATTAACTATTACTATGACATAGATGTAGATTGGAATGTTTTCTCCTTTTTTTTCAAATGATAAAATAAATCAAATAAAATGTCTATTTTAACAAATCAAGGTTTTGACTATTGAAATTGGTTGGCATAGCAAACTTTTTATCTTAACAAAAAATAACCAATGTTTCTGCAACTGGTGTAAAACTCATAGTCAAACCACTAAAATATATATATCCAATAAAATCCACTACTAATCTTTCAGAATATTAATTCATTTATTTATTCAATATTTAATTTAATATCACAGAACAAAGGATTCAAATAGATAATAAAATAACTAGAAAACGAAATAATGACGAATGTTTTCTTTTAAAAAATATTATAATTAAAGATTACGTATTTGAATTATACGTATCAAAAGTGCTTCACGAATAATTTGATTTTTTGTAGAATTTAGCAAATGGGAAAAGTAAATACTAGAATAAAGAAGAGAAAAATTAGATTAGATAAAAGAAATATTTTTACTTGAAAAAGAATACTTCGTTGTTTTGTGTATAAACACTCCATTCAATACTAGTTAAATTAGTATTTTGTAAATCAACTTTTAATTCAATGAAATTCGTTTCTAGTAACCATGAATTAACAGAATAAATAAATCGTTTTGGTTGATCATCGGTATGAATAATTAGAATAGATGATATATCATCTATTTAGAAATCTATTAATGTTTTTGTTTTTCTTAACAAATGAGATACTAATCAAGTAAAGGAACTTTTATAATAAGTTGATATTTTTCACCTTTGTGATTTTGTATTCGTAATGAAACTGATCGTAAATGTTCAACACGAACAATATTTTGATACCAATAAAATAAAATACTCAATGATAAAAATGATTCGATAAGCATTTAAATGTAGCAAACCATGGGATATTTATCAATATTTGTTATTATTTTATATACATGCAATCGATTATATTGAAATGTTGTTTTTTTGTTGTTACTATTAATGTTTTTCTATCCAATGAAGATACATCAAAAGTAATTTCATATTTATATGGAATAGCAAATATTATTATAACAATTGAGAAATATGTTAAATAACATTGTGAGCAAATTATCATCGATGAAGTTATTAATAATAACAAATGAATACTATCTCAAATTTTTAAAGAAAATGTCTATCTGACGGAATCTTTACTCGGATAGCTTACATAATGAATAACAACAAGACAAGTAATATAGTTTTCCATGTGTAGATGCCACTGAATCTTTCGTTACTAAAAAAGACATCTTTATTCATATGTAAGTATAAACTTTTGAGAACACAATTTTTGGTTAGTAAAAAAAAATATACAAATGAACAGTGTCAATGTTGAATGGTACGTTTTCTATATATAAGTACGAGTAAAAGATTCATATTTGGTCAGTAAAAATATAGCTTTCATTACAGAAAGATATAAATTTAAATAAACAAAAAGAACTACAGAATGAACAAGAAGAAATTCAAAAGAACATTGAATAGAAAAAAAAAAGAATAGATGAAAATTCAGTTATATTGTACTAGCCAAGCATGTTTAACCATTGCTAGTCTCTCTCTTTTTTTTCTTTTCTCATTGATCGGTAGTACTTTTCTGCTGGTGATGGTTTGCAAGATTTCAGATGGTTACAACCATATCCAACAACTTGATTGTGTATATATGTAATTGTTAAAAACAAAAGCGTGACAGTTGCATTTTGATTTTTTCCTAATCTAAATTACTTATCATTTTCATACATCAAATATCAAATGATTTTTTGAACTAATTAATAGTTGATCACTTTTATTTTTATATTTATTTAAACTGACTTTTTGTAATCGATAGTAAAGTACAACCTACATACTTTGTTGATTTAGTTCATTGATAAGATAAAGTTCATGATTACAAAGATATTGGTGGTACTGTTGAAAATATTTTTGTGTGAATCAAAGAAGAATCTTCTTCAATTTAGCGAATCATTGACAATATTTAAAGTTATCGCTAAAAATCTCAAAAAAATATGATGTTCTCTAGACGTTTCTTTCTTTTTGGTTGTTTTATTAGTTGCTTCTGAGTTGTTGTTTGTATTTTTAATAATGATTGGTTTTTGACTTGCTTTTCATCTTCCATTTCTCCATAAATAATGGTGATACTAAATTGAATATAGCTGTAGAATTCGATAATTGACGCATATCAGTATCTTCTCTATTATTTCTATTGCAATATGTTTGTCATCTATTTGAATCCAATTATAACATATATTAATTTTTATATTTATGCTTTAACTTAATTTACTGATTTTGAAACATGTTAATCAATTTAGTTATTTTAATAATAGACCATTTAAAAAACTTCTTCATTTATTTTTCTGACCATTTTAAATAATAATCGAAATTTGTTTTACATAATGCTTGTCCTATACTACATTTCAAAAAGTAATTCTTGAATGCCAATAATCCATTATTCAAGTTTCAAGCTGCAGAATACCAAAATGAAGCGGTATGAAAAAAAAAATACTTTAAAAAAAATGCAACGATAGTTAGAAACACTTTGCAATGTTTTTTTATTGTTCATTTTAAAAATAGTGTGTTCAGAGTAATCATTTGTCAGATTGTAACTACGATGAAAAAAATTCAAAATTAAAAGTATGAATACATTTATACATAAAGATCAATCTCAATCTATGAAATGTGAATTTCAAAAAGATTGAATGTCGATTACTTGTTTAACAAGATCAAAATAAAAACGAGAAGACAAGTTTTTACGGATTCGCCAATGTATAAACTTCGGAAGCACTTAGTTCTCTTGCATATATTCTTAATTCATCCATCATACCATAGAATTGTCCTTTCGTAATAGAGCCCGTTGCACAATTCGCTTGACCTGACAATGAATTACCGAGTGTGAGTGTATTAGGCCCACCTGATGGAGCATACGTGAAAGGACCTGTTGATCCAATTAATGTTCCATTTACCCACAGACGAACACCGTTTGTAGAACTATATGAAGTAACAATATGAATCCATACACCAAGAGGAATCACCGATCCAACGACTTCTGCTGCCATACCATTGTTCCAATTTAGACCGATTATCTGATATGATGAAGAAAGACCTAAGATCGGTAAACACCAACCCAGTCCAGTTGTACTATAACGAAAAAAAAAACAAAATATTACAACGAGATGACTATAAAACAAAAGTGTCAGAATGAATCACTAATTTTTATTTTGCCAAAAAGAATTATCTTGTATTTTACATCTAGTTTCACTTACAGAGATGACATATGAATGATTGTTCCATTACCAACTGCTGGTGATGATTTGTAAATCCAAATAGAAATTGAATATGATCGATAAGTAGATCCTAACAGAGTAAAGCCAGTTGCTTGAAAATATTGTCCATTTCCATTCATTAAAATGGCTTGATTCACCCGTCCAGTTGTCGACGTCAGACTAACTCCAGTCTATTAGAAAAAAACAAAAAATCATATACAACATGTCTTTAGAAAAATAGATGATTTAAGCAAAACTAGGATTTAAACTAGATTATACACAAATAAGAAAAGTTTGCAAAAAAACAATCAATCTATGCACTATGTTTATTTTTTTTTTACATACTCCATTAATTCCATTTGGTCCTGAATCATAAAATGAACCGTTATCAAATGAATAGTATGCTACTAAAGTTGCATCATCGAGAACTTCAGCTGCAGTTTTTGCTCTTGATACATACGCTACTTGATCAAGATATCCTGTCCAAAAATAATAAGGTGTTGCAGCACCTGTATTATTAATTGCACCTATGGTAATAGCACCAGACATAGCTTGAAATGGATTTGATGATGTATGTGTACATGTAATATATCCATTCAAATAAACATATTGTGTTAGAGTAGAATAATCATAAACAAATCCAAAATGATGCCATTCATTAAGTGAAACAATTGTTGAACTCCAACAATCATTTCCATAAAATGCAAAATAAGTGGAATTTTGTCGAATCATCAAATATAAACATTTATTAGTAGTAGGTGTTTGACACATACCAACCATTAAATTATCATAGTTGACTAAAGAAAGAAAATATGTGAATTCCTAAATATAAATAAATCTCATTTAGTTATTTTTTTATATTTACCTAAACTAGTTGGATAAGCCCATATTTCCCAAGTGAAACTTGTATATGTCATATTTTTATAGGTTGAAACAAGAACATATTGTGAATTGATTGCGTTAACAGAGAGAGCTGAGCCATAACCAGTATATCCAGGTGAAACAAATGTAGGACTATTCATTCCAACGCCATTGTAGACATTATATAGATCATTATAATTGGAATCAAATGACCAAAACATATATGTTGGTGGCACAGCTGTCGTTGTTGTTGTTGTTGATGCTTAAAAGTTCAAAACTCGATTAAAGAAAATTTTTGTGAAACTCACATATATTTTCGAAGAAAATAGTGAGTGTAAGTTTTAAGTCGAAGATTTTGCGGCTATCCCGTTCCCTTCCTCATAATAGACACTCATTTATAGACACCAACCATCACAAACTATAGCAATCGAGAAAAATAAGTGTCAGACTTGCTAAAGTTTTTTTGTAAAATAAATCAAGTTAGAATGTTCGAAAAGCAGCAAATAAAACAATATGAAAAATAATGAACGAAAAGCAACATAGCAAACCAAGAGTAGGTTGGCTACGAAACAATAAAAAATTTCTGTTCGAAATATAGAAATTAGAGAGATGCTTACTCTCATGATCGACTAACCTGCGAAACAACTATATAATCTACGAGTAATTTTTCACGTAATGTATTTCATATTAGTTTAATAAGACTTAGAGAGCATATGTGAGTTTCACATTTCAGCTCCAATGGTGCTACGCTAACCAGCTTTGCATCTTTGAGACAGCAACTGAACATGAACATGTTCCATTCGATAGCCAATTCGAATTGGTTTAGTGACAGAAAACTTGAACTTTGAAGAAATATAACTTTATGCGAATGTCACGATAGATCAAATGTAAACAGCACTTGAAGAAAATAGATGTCATGCATTGAGAATAAGTTTTTGTTTTTCTACTTTCTCTTATTCAGTAGTAAGGTTATTTTTTAATAGGAAGTTAATTACCAATATTGAATCTGATGTTGCAAGACTGATCTTTATCATACACTTGTGTTTCAATAACTTCTCTATTATATAAATGTTACATTCTAGCGATGTATACATGATAGCTTGTTTACATCTTGCGATACTCTGATTTTAAAGAATAATTTGAAAACAAAATTGCAACTTGCAACTTTAGTACACTAGTCTTATCGATTTTTCATAATGCTTATAATATGAAGTACGATCGTGAGACGATTTCACACAGTATAGTTATATGTTTTAGCTGGTAAAGTATTTATAAATAGAATTATTCCATTGCTTGCCAACTCTCGTCTTTATATTAGCAAAAATCTTTTGCAATTTAAGCGTCTTAATCGTTACAATCAGTAAATATCTGTTTACTATTCATATAAAATGAACATGTGGATAAACAATACGAAAAATTACAAGAAAGATAATGACTGACTCTTCGACTTGATATCTTTATGATACTTGATGAACAGAGCAAGATAGACTTACTTGTAGACGTTGTACTTGTGGCTTAAAAATAATGAATATAATGACCTATCGAATAATTCGATTGAAAATAGTCCTACTTGATGTTGATGTACTAGTAGTTGATGTTGTTTTCGTTGTTGTTGTTGTAGTCGTTGTTGTTGTTGTTGTTGTTGTTGTAGTCGTTGTTGATGTTGTACTAGTAGTTGATGTTGTTGTTGTAGTCGTTGTTGATGTTGTTTTCGTCGTCGTTGTTGTTGTTGTTGTGGTTGTTGTAGTTGTTGT